CCACTGCTTCAGAACCAGGCGCCAGAGGAACCCTAGGGCTGTTGCTACACTTCAAAGGCGAAAGTGACATGTGGAGCCCAGGGTCAGCTGGGGACTCCCCCACTGTCCCTGGGCTCCTGTGGCGCTGCCACTTTGAATCGCCTCAAGGAGCCGGACGCTGGGCTCCCCGTGGTGTTTCAAAGCATCAGCGCAGCACTGAGCCCAGGGGCAGCTGGGGACTCCCCAGCTGATCCCGGGCTCTGTGAGGTTTTGCTGCTTTGAAACCCAGCGTGCAGCCTGGGGAACACCCTAGTTGGCCCCGGGCTGCACGGGGCTTTTCAAAGCAGCAGCACCGTGTGGAACCCAAGGTCTGGCCCCAGGCTTCAAGTGGCACTGCCGCTTTGAAGAACCCCCTGTTCTTCCCCCCACTTGGTGACTATCTGATAGGGGCGGGGGTGGGGGAAGCAACTTGTTGACTAGTCCTTCACATCCCTAGTTCTCTCCCACTGCTAGCCACATGGGCACAGGATGCAGGTTGGCGAGTGTTCTAGGGAGGGCTGCTCCTGCACACAAGGCTCCTCTGTTGCTGGCAGAGGTCCCCCGCAAAGCTATAGATGGGGGGCGGGTGCCCCTCCAAGGTGCTGATTCTGAGCCATGCTGGCTGCAGACTGGAAGGTCCCACTGACTCAGGGAACGAGTCCCGCCTGGAGCTCAGGCACAGATGCATTTCACATCAAGGTCCCAAGGAAGGAGGTGGACACTGGGGGCAGGCAGAATGCAGCATCCTGCAGGCCAGAACCCACAGCTCCCTTGCTTGCTGCCAGTGGCTGAGCTGACTTACCAGGGATGTCATGGTAAAGCCGATGACCTCAATGCAACCATCATCATGGCGCTGGGGCTCGAAGTCATGGTGCTCCCCAGGGTTGCCCCAGGGCATGGTGCCCGCACAGTACCTGCAGAGAGACAACGGGAGCAGAGTACCACCTGGGACCAACAGGAGGGCTCCTCAAATGCCAGGCAGTGAGCCCAGGCTGAGCAGCACGCATAGGCACTGGAGCCACTCACCGAGGAATGTTCAGAAAGACAAGGCACTGGGGCTTCAGGTCCTGGATCTTGGGCGTCAGGTCTGTTCCATCACACTGAAAACAGACAGACAGACTGCAGTCGGACACATAGGCTGGCTGCAGAAGGGCCCAACCCAGCCCAAGTCACCTGGGGGAATGAAAGCCCCATTGCCTTCAGAAACGGAGTTGTCGCCCTGCCGCACTCAAGCCATGTTACCAGCCCCAGGGGGATGATCCCAGACACTCACCACAACTTTGACGTGCTTTGCCAAGTCTTTGGAGCTGCCCGTGAGAAAGTCGGAAAACGCCGTCTGCCAATACAAGCGAGAAGGTTAGTGCCTGGAGACTCCGTCTCTGAGCAGCAGCTGGATCACCCAGACCCTTCAAGTTTTATTGGGTCTCAAGTCAAATCCCCGAGGCTTCTGAGGTTGGGCAAATCTTCTTCCAGTGCTCACATTGCCCATCTGGCACAGCTGCAGATGCACCTCACGCCTGTGAGAACCCACATCTCGGGACATCTCCCAGCTGACAGTGAACTCCAGTCCTAACTTGCAGCCTCCCCACCTCGTGTCGAGGCTGGGCCTCCAGGAGCTGCTGTGATCTAGAGCTAGGGCACTTTCTTCTCCAGGTGGGCAGTGACACTGGGGGCTTGGATGGCCAATTATTCATGGCAAATGTGATTGGGCCCAGAACAGGAGCAACACCAGCCTTCTCTATGGGAGGCAACTAGGGGAGGGCATGAAACAACATGACATGCAGTCTAGGGTAACACAGCTAGTCCCCCAAAATCCCCAGATCCTTAATGGGAAGGACAGCACTGGGAAGCAGAAGCAGCCAAGACTCAAGAGGAAGGAGCAAATTAGCTGGTGGGGGTGGAGGTGTGGGTTGCACTGCAACAGGGTTGTACAAAGAGTAATGCAAACTGGGGACTGCGTATGCAGCGATCCCTCCTAGGGCAGAAGCGGACAGTCACCCTCTAATGCAGGTCTGGGAGGTTGAGTCTGGGCTCGGCTCCTCAGTACAAGAACACACTAGAACAATTATCATGGGTCTGGAGGGACAGAATGACCGGGGGAGATTAAAAGAGTTGCTCAAAAATCTTGTTTGTAACTACTCAAAGAACGTAGCTTTGGAACTACCTAAGAGTAGCTGGAGCTTAGACAGTCAGCCCTTGTCTCCATGGAGTCCCACACACTCACCCCAGCATAGAACATTTTATTGCGAAACCGGCTGTTAAATTTCTCTGGATTGGCCTCTGGGGAAAGAAAAGAAAAGTGAGTGTCATTCACGCACTGCTGGGAGCAACTCAGCTGCCTGTTGCCCCACACCCCGCCTCACTCTCTCAGGCTCCCGCCCGCCCCAATTCTCTAGCCAACTTTCCCACTCTCCTTGGCTTCTTCTTCCCCTCCCACTGACTTGCACGCTCTCCCCTATCTGATTGTTCACACCCTCTTCCTAGCCACTCCCCCTTCCCCTCTCCTCAGTTGGTTCCCCTATTGCCATCTCCCTGCCACAAAGTGTTTCAAGTGACCACACATGGGCACCCCCAGCTTACAGCCCTGCTTCCCTCCTGCTCACTGCTCCCTCCAAATCCTGGGATTCTCCCACTGTGCGGCCCTGCCACTTTGCATAGAAGGTACCAGCCAGCTCCGCTCCAGCCCCCACCTACCTCGAGACTCATGGAACTCCAGCGTCACACGAGCATCAAAGCCAAGGCTGAAATAGTTATTGAAGACGTCGAGGGGAAGCTGAAGGGGGAAGAGAAGATTGAGGCTGGGAACACTAGTACCAGGGCATGCGGCTAGGAATGTGCGTTACTACAAGGGAGTGACCCCACGTCACTAGCCAGCCACAAGCCATGTACAGGGGCCGCTGCCAACAGAGTGAGGCAGAGGCAGCTACTGGCCTGAGAAAGGGATATACCGAGAGGGAGAGAGTAACCCTTTCTGCTGCCCTGAGTGCCCTCAGTACAATATCCATGCAGGCTCAGCCCTTGGCCCAGACTCAGCATCCCCACAGGCAATGGGGATGCAGTGTCCAGCCCAGAATGAGCAACTGCTTGGGGCCTGTTTCCATAGGAACCTTCAGGAACCCAGAGAGGGATATACGTCTCCCCCTCACCAAACCCCGTCCCAGCTGCTCTGTACCCCTTCTTGCAGGGTCACTCTTGGCTCACCACGCCGAGTGGGACTCAGGAGTCAGGCAATCTCTGCTCCTTGAGACACTTGCTGTTCTCAGGATCTTTGCACCAAAAGGAATGGCCTCACAGTGAGTCTTCCAAAACTCATGCAGACCTACGTCTTTGGGTCAGCTGTGGCCACCCCTAGCCCATAGGAAGCAGGGAGAAACCTCTGAGCCATGAGGTGAGAAAGTGGAAACGGGGGCGGGGGGGAAGAGAGGGATGCCTGCCTTGTATTGTATCCCGAGGGAGCAGAGAGCTGGCTGGGTTGGGGACAGATGGTGAAGGCTGGCCCGTGGTGGAGGAGCTGTGAGTACCACCCACCAAGGTGCGGGAATCTCACCTTGTCTGTGGCTGTCTCATCCTTTTCCTCAGGGTTCACCTCGGAGTTTGGCTCCACCTGGAGATTCCAGCGATCGAGCTGCACAATGTTTCCCTCTTCCACGTGCGAGAGGATCTTTGACAAGGGCTCATCCGTGTAACCCTATAGGCCAAAGCAGAACTCAGTGAGCCGCCCAACTAGATTCCCCTACTGGGAAAGAAGGGGTGCGGGGCCAGCTGCCGCAGAGCAAAGAGTGGGGAGAACGCAGGGCTGGGACACACTACTGTGTAACCTGCATCCCAGGAGGTGCCATCTCTGGGGCCAGGGGGTGTTTGCCATGGTGACTCTCAGCCCACCACAGTGGCTTGTCTGATGGCACAATTGGTTACTTCTCACAAGGGAGTGGGTTTCTACGTACAGCTGATGCCTGGGGAGGAGGGGCGGAAGAGGAGGTGATCTGGGGAGAGACCAGGCCTCTGGGTGATGCCCACACCACAGGGATCCTCATGCGCAACCACAGGCCAGTCCCAGCCTTCTAGAATATGCGCCGCACCTCCAGCACACAACCCCACCTGCCCCTTGCCGCACTCGCCTCTGCTGCTGGGAGCTCTCTAGCACACTGCGCATGGCTCCCACATGGCAGAGCATGGAGCACGAGCAAGAAAGCTCCCCACGCCAGAGAAAAGAGCTCAGCTCTATCTCCCTCCCCCCCAACGCTGATCCCAGGGCTCAGCTCCCTTCCCCAACACATCAAACCTCTGTCTGGCCATCATAGTTCATCTCCCTCCCCTCTTCCAGCTACCTGGGCCCAAGCTCGGGAGCCAGCAGTACCAGGGTACTGCGTTCTATGGCTTTCCAGTGCAAGCACCCCACGCTGCACCCTTCCCCCAAGTCACTTACCCCACCCCAGTTCAGTGTCCTGGCTAGGTCATTCCCGGTCCCCAGAGGGAGGATGGCTACAGGCGGAGGTGGGTTCACGCGTAACTGGTCCAGGATGGAGAGGATCCACCCCACCTGGCCAAACAAACAGGGAAGACACCAAAGAGGAAGCCGGTTACTTCAGAGCCCTATGAAGTGACCAGCTTGCGGGGGGAAGAGAGTGTTTCCAAGAGCCAGAAACAAGGAGGACATGGAGACTGGGACTCCCCAAGCACCAACCGTTAGAGGAGATGCTCAGCTATTCCCTGTCAATGCTCCAGAGTGAGGGGGCAAACCCCATCTTTCTACCCAGTGTTCTGGGGAAATCCCTGCCCTGCCTCAAATGGCACAAGTGATGCTTCCCAGAGGTGGCATCTCACACAGTTCGCACCCTATTGGTGCCCAAATATGTGTCACTGCCCCCGTACAGTGGATGCTGCCAGGACCCACAGGGCTGAGAATCCCCAATGCAATTGCCCCAAAGGCTGATCTGCACCTTTCTGTACCTAACCACACTGGGAGCGTGATAGTTAATCTTTCCAGATTGCTGGAGCCAGAGCCAGATGGGGGAAGCCTGAATTCTGGCTCCAAAACTTTGCCTACCCAATGGCTGCGTTAGCAGCTCATCAGGAGCTTGAAGGCTGCAGCTAATGGCATCAAATGAAGACGTACAGCCGCTCTCATCTCTAGTGTGGAGACGCAGCCCACAACAACGACTGGCCCTAACAACCCATGCAGCTATTCCCTGAGATGCATGGCATGCTGGCACCTGTAGTGTCTGAGGGCCGAGAGCCGTATAGTAGCATTTGGGAGACCCATTCTGGATTAGAGCAAGGAAGCCACCACCTCTCTTGGAAGGGAAAGGAGATGGATTCAGGCACCAGCCACGTGCCTCAATAGCTCTGAAAGCACTGAGCGGTCAAGGTCACTCACCGTGCCATCCCCCCCACACGCCAGGATGCGCAGGTTGTGCACTTTCCGATACATCTCCAGCCTGCAGGGAAAGTGGAGGGGATCAGGCAGGAGAGTCACTGAGATGCTTGAAGCTGCAGCTATGAAAATGCACTGGCCCGCGTCTGCAATGGGCTCCTCTGCCAGGCTGCCCATTGGAGGAGTCACAACTCCATGCCTGTCTGTGGCCCCCTCTCTTCACCCTACAGCCTCATGGCATTGGACACTCGAATCAGCGGATCATCACAGGCTTCTGGGAAGGGAACCCAGGTGCGTTACCCCCGTTATGCGGATGGAGAAACGCAGGCGTAGAGAGGGAATGGGACTGGCCCCAGGTCACAGAGCAGGGTAGGGGCAGAGGTGGGCATAAAACCCAGGTACTTAGCCATTCGGCCATCCCTCCTCCTGGGAACACAAGGGAGCCAGGGCTGACTGAAAAGTCAAATGGGATCAGTCCGCAAAGACACTTTGAACCTGCACTTGCTGTGCAGCCACAGAGCTCTCCCCAAGGGCCTTTCCTGGAGCGTCAGTCCCTCACTAGTGGCCAGCTGGAAGGGAAGGGCCCAAGGCTCCTATTGGGAGACTCAGTGGGAGAAGGGGATGTGTCACTACTCACGCCTCTTTGGGGCCACCTTGGCTGAGGTCAAAGACTTGCCGTGGGTTGAGATACCACATGAAGGACTGGATGATCTTGGCCCCCTAAAAGGAGGAAAGATGTCAGGCAAGAGGATACAGACAATACCAATGGTGTGATGGGGGTTCGGAGGAAGCAGAGTCTCAGACAGAGTTGATGGGAATTGACAGTCCTGGGCAGTCGGGCCAGGCCTGGCCTCAAAAGGAGATGGTAGGGAGTAAATTGGCATCACCCTGCCTGCGTGTGTATTTGCAGCTGAGACATCACTGAACTTGCTGGATTCTCAACAGTTGGGATGTGAGGCCTCCATGGAGCTGGTTTCCCCAGAACATGCTGGAAAATGTTCCTACCTGATTCCCACCACTCTTGGGGTTCACAAACACCAGCAGCGGCTTCATGAGTGGGGCTGGCGTGGGCTTGATGACAAAAGGCTTCCAGCGCCCCTCCTGCAAGAGACAACACAACACCATCAGCAACCTCGGGCAAACACCAGTTAACTATTTGCTTTGTCAAGAACAACTTTCTCTTACTAGTTTCAAGCCTGCTACCCATTCCTTTCCTTTGGTGTCCTCTAGTCCTTCTTTATGGGAACTCATGAAGAACTTTTCTGAATGCACCCTCTCCACCCAACCCCTGCTTTTAGAGACCTCTATCCTGTCCCCCCTCCGTCTCCTCTTTTCTAAGCTGAACAGTCCCAGTCTCTGTAGCCTCTCTTCATCTGGGACCTGTTCCCAACCCCTGATCATGTTAGTTGCCCTCCCCTCTCCCAGCCTTTCTCTTCCCCTCTCCCACCTCCTTTTCCCAGTCTCCCCCAGTTTTTTTCAATAAAGACAGAGTCAATGTTGGAAGAAACGTTATCTTTATTTTGTACATCAATAAGAAGGGGGGCTAGGGAAGGGTAAGTGGAAGGAGGTGAGGGAGGAATGGGGTACGAGCCCCCGATGGGGAGGACTGGGCTGGCTCTGCGGGCTTCTGGGGGTGGAAGCTCTCCTGCAGCCCCCCAATTACTCCCTCTCCCCAGATGGCAGCCTGCGGCAAGTGCAGCCGGGCTGATGGCCGAGTGGTGTGATGTGCCCAGTGTGGGCACTCAGGGCACTCCAAGCCAGAACTTCTTTGCAAGCGGGGCACCCCTTAGAACTGTGTGTCCGGGGTGGGGGTCGGGACCCTTTAAGCGCAGCCCTCGGCTAGCCTGAGACAGTATCTCCATGCTCTAAGTCCTCCTTTTATGCCCTGCCGGCACTGCTTCCGGCCATCCTTAAGCCCTGTTCAGAGTCCACTCAATGTGGACTTACTAGTTCGAACTAGCAAAACGCTAGTTCGAACTAGTTTTTAGTTCTAGATGCGTTAGTTCGAACTAGCTTAGTTCGAATTAACTAATTCGAACTAAGTTAGTTCGAACTAGCGCTGTAGTGTAGACGTACCCTGAGGTCTGAAGTTGGAGACAAAATACTACACAGTCCAACCATCCCCAGGGTCCCAGCATGGAGATCACCCTCCCCAGCTGCGGGACAGGAGCAGGATCCTCCCCAGTGCCCTAGAACTGGGATCCAGCTCCAGTGGGAGTGGAATCCACATACCAACCTTTCTGTTCTCTTGTCAAACACACCTCTGAGATATCTTACAGTTGCAAATGACCCTCCACCTCATTTGCCCATGCTCTGTGTCCAGAGATTGTCCTTCACCAACACCCATTCCTGCCCTCCAATTCCCAATTAGCACCAGCCTCATTCTCTGACCTCTGCTCCCTTTTTGCTGGATTTCCGCTTGAACGATGTCCTCTTCTTTTTCTTACTGGACTTCAGTGTATTCTAGTAAAGGAGAAAAACCACGTCAGCAACTGCTGGTCGAGCAGGAGTCACTGATTAAATGGGACCAAAGCCCGAGGGACAACTAGCCTGGGGGCGCCGGACCCGCAGAATCCAGGTTGGAGGGACAACGACAGCAGCATGAGCCCCCAGGGTGCATGGCTCCTCGATGCGTTGCAGCATAAAGCACGACACCTTACTGTGATACTGCAAGGGAGAGAGAACGCAGCACTTATTTGCTCAAGCATGCCCTGGGGAGCCCAGCTCTGCACACCCACAGCACCATCAGGGGACGCTGCAGGAAATGCACCAGGAGCCTAACAGCGTGAAGGCTCCCAACAGGAGGTATTGCAGGGAAAAGGTGGGAACCTTGCTTGAGAGAGGCTATATCTACATTACGAGGCTTTATTGGAAAAAGGTACAGAAAATGCGCTTCGCAACTTTTTCTGATAGTTTTGTCAGAAGAGCCTTTTCTGAAACTTGGCCCCTCTACACTGGGCCAAATTTCGGAAAAAAAACCCTCATTCGGGAGAGCCCTTCTTCCTCGTGGGAGGAGAAAGAGGGGGCTTCCGAAAGAGCACATCTGCTCTTCCGCAAAAAAAAGCCGAAGCGCAGATGTGTTCCCTGGACGCGGCAGAGTTTTTCCTGGGATTCTGTATCCCAGAAAAACCCCGTAGTCTAGACATAGCTCCAGCGACTCCAATCCCAGCCTTGCTCAGTAAGAGGCATTGTCAGGAAGGGGGCAGGAGCAACAGCTGGAATTTAGGCCATTACCTTGGCCGATGTACCCAGGGGAGGGCTGCACTCACCGCTTGCTTACACCAGGAGCAGCTGATGGCTACAATCTCCTTGCTGTGAAAGGCAAACTTCTGCTGGAAACCCTGCGGAGAGAAGGAGGTGGGTCTCGTGAAGCTCCCGACAACCCTCCACAATGCAGCAACTGGCCCACAGGACGGGGAACTTCAGCTCCCCAGCTAGGGCAGATGTTAGCCACGAGAGTCTCTCTGGAAGTGGGTTGTGCTTGCGAAAGCTCATGCTGCCCTCCACGTGTTTTGTTAGTCTTTAAGGTGCTACTAGTATATTGATGTTGTTTAAGTTTTTCCTATGCAGCTAGTGTACCTCCGTCTCTGTCAGAGTATTCCCCGTCCACAGGCCTGGCATTGGGGAATTCCATGTGCTTGGGGCAAGCTTCCCTGGAACAGAGGGAAGGAGCCAGCCAAAGATGCCCACGGAGCCCCCTCCAGGACAGACTGGATCCCCTGGGAGACCACTGTGGAAATCCTATGACTGGATGAAGATGGGGACTGAGGGAGTGCTGTCTGTGCTGCCAGTAGGGCGCGATACATGGAACAGCAGGATTCCTGGCTGTGAGGGAGCTGCCCCCTCCCATCAGAGACTGAATGTCTCCTGCTCCACATGGTTCTTCTGTCAGTTCCTCACCCCGACCACTTCCCCACCTGACCGCAGCTCTTCTTCAGCCCCTCTCACCTTTCCGCACTGCCTGCACTTCCCTTCCTGGCGTCTCCGGTGCACCCAGTGATGCCGGACGACTATGGGCTAAACAGAAACACAAGGGCCAGGTTCAAAGAGAATGCAGAGAATGGTGAGGACATAATCCTGTTAGCACACTGCTCAGCTGGGACCCCCAGTGTTCCGACCTCCTCGCCGGCCCATATGGAACAGAATCTCCTTGGCAGCCCCTTTAGCAACGAAAGGACACTGCAGAAGCCCCTGAGAACATCTTAGTCCAGATACCGGAGAGGTTCAGAAATATGAGCACTCAGCAGTGGGCACCTGACTGAGATGCCAGGGTCCTCATCCCCCAATGCCTCTCTCAACAACCCCCAGGAGAAATCCAAGCAGGCATGGAGGAAGCCCTATTGTCAGGTGCACATCCCAGGTTTGGCCTGGTATATTTTTGGAACAACGAGAGACACCCAGTTCTCCCTAAACAGACAGCAAGTTTGCTTCATGAAAAACGACCTCAACCAGGCTTGGTTGAAAATGCTGGAGAGAACTCAGCTTCTTTAGACAGGAGGGTAACATGCTCATTACGCTTAGTCACTAGCGAGCATATTGTGATTTTGTATCCTATGTAACCCTTTATTTCCAGTGGAGCAAGGGAAGGACTCTACAGAAAATGCTCAGAGGACTGAGGGGGTTGGGCATGTGCCTATCACTAACCTGTAGAGAGAAAATGAGGCCTGCAGAGGATTGGAGGGAAGTGTTTGCCTTGCTGGAGGCTGGTGGAGTCAGGGAGCGGACTGCAGGCACAAACCAGGTTCCCTCACCCTAAGGGCAGGTGATAGTTTAGTGCCTCACAGTGCTGGGTATCCTGGGAAATGTCACATTTCTGACTAATAATCAAAAAAAGGAGATGTGGTGAATCCACGCTGCTTCCCCCATGGCAAAGCATTTCTCTGCCAAAGGCCTCATGGAAAACAGATCAACCTTGCGCATGGCCCTAGCAGATACCCTGGATCTACCAGCAGCCCTAAACAAAGATGATGAAGGCAAAGGACTGAAAGGGCTGAACTCCACACCAGAACAGTCACCAAGGAGAGAAAAACCAGTTACTCACCTCCATGTAACTGCTGTTCATGTCCATTCCACTCAGGTGTGCGCGCGCACATGTGCGCAATAGCCAGAAGATTTTTTCCCCTAGTAGCTAGCCATAGGGTCACTCTGAGCACTCCCTGGAGTCAGACTTTCATGGTGCCCAATATAGAGCCTTGCCAAACTGCCACCCCCTCAGTTCCCTCTTGCTGGCTACTCTGACAGATGGGAAAGGTATTGGAATGGACATGAACACCATACCTTGAAGAACAACAGTTACAAAAAGGTAAGTAGCCATTTTTCTTCTTTGAGTGCGTGCTCATGTCCAGTCCAATCATGTGACTCAAAAGCCCAAATTCATACGGTGGGGTTGGAGTCTTTCACTAACTGGAGCACTGCTCTTCTGAAGGCCATTGTCTCTGGACTGCTGGATAATTGCATAGTGTGCGGAGAAAGTCTGGATGGAAGACCAAGTTGCCACACTACATATTTCCTGTGCTAGGAATGCTGTGGACACGTGTGTGCGTGCGTGTGTACGCACACACATGTGTGCACAGACAGTGGAGATGCAGGAACTACTGCCAAGCTGTAGCACTCAAGTAAAGGATGCTATTCATGATGAGATGTGATGAGAGGACACAGACTGACCTTTCACTTTGTCTGCCACAGCCAAAAATAACTGGACTAGTTTTCTAAATGATTTTGTTCTCTCAATGGAAAAGGCCAACACTCTTCAGTCATCTAAAGAGTGGAGTTCCTGCTCTATGATGCTAGAAAGCAGCTTAGGGTAGAATATCAGAAGAAAGATGTCCTGGCTGATGTGAAACTGTGACACAACCTTTGGGAAGAAAGCAGAAAAAGATGTCCTGGCTGATGTGAAACTGACACAACCTTTGGGAAGAAAGCAGGATGAGGCTACACCTTGTCCTTATAGAACTGAGTGCAGGGAGGCTCTGATGTTAGGGACTTGAGCTCGGACACCCTCCCAGTCGAGGTTATCATTGCCAGGAACGCCACCTTGAAAAAGAAGTAGAACAGGGAGCACTTTGCCAATGGTTGAAATGGAGGTTCCGTGAGTCTGGAGAAGACCGGGTTAAGGTCCCAGGCAGGAACTAGATAATGGACATGAGGGTGCAGACTGTCGAGACCCTTCAAAAACATTCTCACCAGCGAGTTAGTAAACACTGAGGGGCTCTCTGCACTCAGGTGGAAGGCTGATATGGTAGCTAAGTGGCACCCTTACTGATAAGAGAAGCCCCTGCAGCTTCAGATGTAGGAGGTAGCTCAGGTGCTGCGTCAACCAGACTGAAAATCTCTTCCATGTGGTCAGGTAGGTGGCTCTGGCAGTTTCCTGGACTTGTCTAACCTGGTGTGAGCAAAAAAGCTCTATCGGGTTCAACCAGGGAGCTTCCACGCCAGGAAGTGAAGGGACCTGAGATTCAGGTGCTGAAGCTGACCGTGATCTTGCATGAGAAGGTCCAGGAAAAGTGACAAGGTGACTGGTGCCTCCCTGAACATGTCTAGGAGAGATGCTGATGGGGCCAGGCAGGTGCTATCAATATGACCTGAGTTTATTCCCCCAAGATCTTGAGCAGTACCTTCTGAATGAGCAGTATGGTCGGAAAGGGATACAGAAGAGAATCTCCCCAATGGAGGAGAAACACATTCACAGTGGAGCCTGGGTTACGATTCTGGAAGGAGAAGAACTGCTGGCATATCCTGTTGTGTCGCGTGGTGAATAAGTCTATTTGGGGAAAGCCCAACCTCTGGAAGATTGAAACTGTGATGTCTGGGCAAAGGGACCACTTGTGACTATGAAACAAGCTGCTGAGGTGGTCCACCTGCTCATTATGTACCCTGGTGCGGTACAACGCTTGCAGTTGTATTGAATATTCTACACAGAAGTACCACAGCAGGAGAGCTTCTAGGCACAGGGGAGAAGAACACGCACCCTCTTTGTTGATACAAAACATTGCTGTTGTCGTATCCGTCATAATGGATTGAATGGACATTCCTCTGTCTACCACATGGAACACTCAGCAAGGTCTGAGGTGATACAGGGCCATGCACAGTAGAAAGGAGACAGTCGGGATGAGAAGGCAAGGCAGGGTGGATCCAGATTGTGGTGTGGTACATCATCCACAACTCTGCCTTCAAAAGGCCGGTTTGGCCCCTGAAGATGACTTAGGGTAACCTGAGCCCTGGCCAGAGGATTCCTGCAACTTCCTCCCGCCACTACGATTTCTCCTTCTGAAGCCATCCTGATGGCTCTGCTGACCGAAACACTGTTGGGACAATGGGGAGGGGGCGGGAAGGAAGTGTCTCCTCTGGATTGACAGAGTGTAGAGGCCTAATGGCTGCTCTAGACCTGTGATTCCTAACCTTTTCCAGATGGGGACCCATTTTGACAATTCAGGAAGACTTGGTGACCCAAGGCAATTCAAAAATGGGGGGAGGAAAGGGGGCAGAGCCAACTGAGGAGACACTTGGCGACCCTTTTGAAATATAATGGTGACCCATATTTGGGTCTCGATCCATAGGTTGGGAAACTCTGCTCTAGACTCTTTAAAGCTGTTTAGCCTTGTCAGTTTTCTCTGAGAAGAGTTTCACTCTCAAAGGGAAGCTCTTGGATAGTTCACTGCACCTCATAGGGAAAGCCTGAAACCTGGAACTATGAGCCCCTCAACATGGCTACTTCTGTAGCTGCCATAATATTGGTGTCCTCATCAACTGCAACAAATGCTGCCTATGCAGCCCTGTGCCAGCGCCTAATGGCCGCGCGGTGGCCAATCTACCCTTCCCAAGCCAGGGGAGTACTTTTAGGGAGATGAAAGGAGGAGGCATTCCCCCCAGCTTTTACAGGACGGTGAGATGGGAAGGCTTGTTTCTTTCCTCTCCCTCCACCCCCAATTTTAAGCCTCCATGTGGAGGGGGGAAGGAAGGGACACAGAGTAGGGAGCACAGGGAAGGCTGAGTTTGCTGCTTAGTGCAAGAGCACTCTCTGCCCCCCTTGCTCCTGAGCAGCTGGACCAATGAATTCTGGGCTTCAGAGCACTGTCAGGGTCTGAGATCTAACCACTATTTCCTGGCTAAAGGCTGGCAAGGTAAGTTTGAGGAATAAGGGAGCTCAGATACCATAAGGATGGGCACCTTGGAAACAGATTAGATTAGGTTCTCTATGGGGACCACAGAGGAAAGATCTCCAGCTATGCTTCTAATCTAAAAGCTACCATAGTAGCTTTTCAGGTGAACCCTAGATGTGTGTTCCCATGGAGATCCCTGGCCTGTGTCCTACCAAAAGCTCCTCTACACATGCCTACAAGTTTGCAATTGCCCTAGGACTAGTTTGTGTGAATACTCACCAGTTCCCGCCACCCCCAGCTTTCAGCACCACGGAGAGCTCCATATCCCTAGGGACACAGGGGGTCCGAGCTCCTGGCAGATAGAGGCTGCTCACCTCCCAAAGAACAGCCTCTGTCTGCAGTGGGCCTGGGCCAGCCCCAGACAAAGCAGCCCCCATCCACAGGGTGTCCCAGCTCACTGTGGGAGGTGGAGCAGCCACTGACCATGGGGAGTTTGGGCCCCTGCAGCTGCTCCCTGGGGCCAGCCTCTATTTGTGGTGGGCCCAGGCTTGTGGCAGAGAGAGATTGCTTCGTGGCAGCCTCCTGTCCCCCTCTGCAGCAGCCTCTGTCCATGGGGAGTCTGGACCCCCGCAGGTAGGGGCTGCTGCTACCCTCTGCTGCTGCCTCTGTATCAAAGACAGCAGTGTGGGGTGGCAGCCGGTCTGCACAAGGAGCAGGTTTTTAAATGGCCTTCCCTTGTGGACCAGCTCCCACCTACCACCCTACACTGCTGTCTCTGATACAGATGCAGCAGTGGAGGGTAGGAGCAGCCCCTGTCCATGGAGGCTAAGAATTTATTCAATTACCCGATATCTAACATCCCTAGTTTGCAGGAAAGCTCTTGAGGGAGGCATTACTGTGTTTCTCCAGAAGACAGGGAGAGGCAGCCATTTATTCCTTCCTAGGTAGCAGGGTAGGGCACGCTGGAGAGATGGCAGCAAAAGGCACCATAGAGGAAATAGAATCAGGGCAGATAGGGAGCCTGCATTAGCCGCAGGAGGTATTGGGATGGTGAGGGAGGAAATGATCAGTAGGGCCCATGGGCCTCAGTTTGAGAAACATGGGTTTGACGTGCTAGAGTACATGTTTAACCTGGCCTGGACACAGCCCTGCAGTACAGGCTATAGGGGACAATCCTGCCCTAGCTGGAAGAAATGGAGTGGATTGGACTTAACAGGGCATACAATCAAGAAGCCCTACAGGTAAGGGGTACCCAGGGGTTAACCAGGGTCAAGTTCAAGTCCTCTGACAATAAGTACAGCTAAACCGAACTGGGGCAGAAAAGCAAAAAACTCTCCTCTTCCCCGAAACCTCCACACACCTTCTCGAAGGCCTGCAAAAGTTCAACTGTTTTCTTTCACTCTCCCAGGGCCAGCACTAGGTGGTCTGAAATTCCTCCTGGAAAAGTTTGTCTTTGAGGTGTCTCAGGCCTAGCCTCTAGGCCAAGGAGGTTCTGAGAATGCAGATCCTGATTGACCAGTAGCAGATATTCCCTGAATGATCTGAGATTCACCCTACAACAGTAGCAATCCTGTGAAGATCCATTTCAAAGAAATGCCCCACAGGATGGGTGACTATGCCTCTTCAGTGCCCAGGTTTCACAGGTAGCACAAACTCAGGGGCTTGTCACATTTGAAGACAGCTAGTCTGTCTGTGTCTTCCACAACAAACCAAGCTAAGCCCTTCACTGGCATCCTGTGCCCTCTGCCACCAAACTAGAAGATGATGACAGGACTTCCCCCTGGCAAACACTGCAAGCAGCTCTGCGATTCTCACCTCCCGAACGTTCCTTGATCCCGACTCCCTGAAGGAAGGCTTGCAGCGGAAATTTATCTGCAAAATGTAACACACACAAGAGAAGAGTCAATGAAACCATCTGCTAAAGGAGACCTACTGGAGCTGAGTTCTGGCCTGGGAGACTTGGGATATTTGATCCTCATCTGACCCCCTACGGAATGAACAATTTTCCGGCCCTTGGGCCTAAAACACTCAGCAATCTGCTAAAAGTCTATTTCCCCACTAGACTGTCCTGTTAGGAAGCACTTGCCTGTCATGACAATGGCTAGCCAGAATAAATGGAGTTCAGCGCTGGCCCCACCCTGAATGCTGCCCAGGTAAGTGGCAACCAGCTCTTCAGGAGTGGCCTGTACTGGGCTTTACTCACTTTCTCCAACTGCTCTATGCAGGGTGTATGCACTACGATTTTGCAGGCTGCACACTTGCGTCTGGTCAGGGGTTTCTGCTGAAAAATGGAAAAGATCCCATGTTAATTAGGGATGTAAAAATCTCGCTTAATCAGTAAACCAGTTAAAGATTACGTTTGCCTGGTTAACCACTTAAATGGCCTCCACCCGTGGCGCGGTGCGGCAGGCCTAGCGGGGCTGGAGTGGTTCCTTGTGGGCCCGCTGCACCGCGAGTTTTTAATTTACACTTGAGAAGTGCTGGAACTTCACTCACTTCTCCATTCCCAGGCAGGTGCTCCGGAGAGCAGCACCTCAGTGCTCTGCAGGATGAGGAAGCCATAAAGAACAAGCGTGCCCCTAGGATCACTGCAGGTGAAAACCTCCTCCCTTGAACTGAATGCCCCAGCCCCGCCTGGGACAAGAGGCGAAGGCACTCTCCACGGACCAGTCAGACCTCAATCTCTTCTGACACTGGCACCAGGCAGCCCATCACTGCCACCTGGGGAGGTGTTGGTACTGTCCCTCAGACCAAAACCCCAAACTCATTTCACCCAGACCAATGGACATGGATGGGCATTGTCCTCACAGCTGTAGCGACCCGCCCTTAGAGAGGGACGGCTGAAGTGTCGCTGAAGGCACTGCAGGGTGCAGGCTTCCAGCCTGCGGCTCTTCCTTTTATTCTTCCTGGAAAGTTCTGGAATCAAATTTTCTTTTGGGGCATCGGGGGTCGCTAAAGCCCTGAGCAGAATCTCTGCATCAACTCAGCCAGCTGGACCCTAGTCGCAAAGATACTCAGCTGCCAGCACAGAGGCAGCAACTTTCCAGACTCAAAGCAGCAGGCAGAGTCTGGAGCAGAACATTTTCCATCTCCCTCGCTGGACCCCAGAATGCCTGAGAACTTCCTCTAAGCCCAGGCTGAGTGCAGAAAGGGATCCCCAGATTTCTCCACTAGGTGGCAGCGCAGTCTTTTACTTAGCTCAAGCTGAGCTGACGATGGGGATCACTGAGCTGGACTTACCAGCATCTTGGCCACACAGTTCTGTTCCCCCACATAGCAGAAGTCCCCAGAGACGCTGGTCTCAAACCAGATGTGCTCCCCGTAGATTGCAGTCTCCTGGAAGGCACAAGATACTGTTGCACTTCTCCAATAGGTCACAAGAGTCCCAATATAGGACCTGGTCAGGGATCCCAGCAGTCACCTCCAACATGAATAACCCAGCTGAGCATCCCAGGCCCACAAATACATTGTGCTACACTCTAGTCAGCTGCAGGGGGCTTATGAAGCACCACTGGCTGCCATGGAGGTCTCATTTTCTGGAGAGGACACATCTAGGAATCTCACTGTGGTCCAGACATGTCAGAAATGGAAAGGTACAGTATGTAGGATGCTGTCCCATCTAGCTGTAAACAATGGGCTGTCCAGGAGAGGAGTCTCTTGAGAAAATCCACCTCATTGCTAGAGAGTTTTCCTAAGATTCAGCTTACATTTTCCTTCACTTCCCATCATCCGCTCCGCCTCTGTGTCCCACCCCAGCCTTACTGGCAGATGGTCAAATCCCCATTCACTGCTGAGCTGAACCAGACAGCTCTCTCCTCACAGGTCAGTCCCTCCTGCTCTGAACACCCTTCCATGTCCCAGGTCGAACTATCCCCCCACTCCCTGCTTCCAAACACAAGGCCTCTGGGAATGAGGAACACAGAGCAGAAGGCGCGACCCCAGTTAGGTGTCCCCAGAGCTGTACAAAGGGACTGTCCCCACGCTTCACTCAAGGTCGCTGGGGACGCAGCTCACAATGGACTCAATTTTGCCAGTGCAGAACAGAAGGTGGAGCAGAGGTGCTTGTGCATCTCAGAGACAGAGAGCAGTGCCTCCTACCACTCCCCACACATGCCACCTGGTCTCCATTCCCAGGAACAGAATAGATGGCTGTGTAGCAGCAGTGGGAAGTCAGGGTGAATGCACTGTTTTTCCTAGCAGCAAGGGGTTTTGCCCAGCAACATCAGCAAGAGCCAGCTACTAGCTACAAGGCTATATGCATGTCAAAGCAGGAATTACCTGGTACAGCTTCATAGCCCCCCTGGGAATGGCCACAAGCCAAGTGCAGTCACTATCATGTCAGAGTCCCCACCCAAGCACCAAGAAAATTAAAGGCAACTTACACTCCAGTCCACAGTGTTGCGGATCTGCCTCTCTGATTCACTCCTCAGGGCTAGCGTGGGGTTCGGCTGAGCTACCATGTGCTGGAGGCCAGACTTGGCAATGGCTTTCCTGGAAGAAAGAGGGAGGGGTGGCTATAAAAAACGGATGGGACTATAAATGCATGCAAGGCTCTGTGTGCGTTTCAGACAGGAACACTAAAGGGGGGCAAAGCAGCATTCAAAACCAGCAACATGGGCTGAGGCTGAATTCACCATCACCACATGCCGGCAATAGCCACCTTCCCTGCATGTGCCATGGGGATGAGCTGGTGAAGGGTTCTTTCCAGTGGTGAAGTCGAGGGCTCTATATCTACATGATCTGGCCCCTCTTGTGGTGGCTGGGCCACAGAGCAATTTGGGACTCTGCCAGGGCCCAGAGCTAACAGATCAGGGTTCGCTCAGGCAATAGGCACTCATGGTTTTTAGATCTGGAGGCCCACTTAGGGCATCATGCTACATCCAAAAAGCTTGAGACTTGAGCTTGTGGGCGAAGGTCAGAGGTAGGGACCCTTCTGAAGACCCTTCCCAGAGATGGCCCTTCTCACTGGAGCATCACAAATGGACAGAGCATCGAAAGCCAGAGAAGTGGGGCAAAGTGTGTGAGAAGCGGGGGAAGCAGCTCACAAGTCTCCAATTCAGCACCTGCTGTGCTGGGACCAGCGACCCCGTCAAAGAGTTTGAGCCCTCCTGCCATGGCAGTGCCATTTCCCATAGCTGCCTGGGCAGGGAGTTGTGCAGCCTCTGAGCCCAGCAGCCTGTGAAGCCAGGCAGAGCATGACAATTGGAGAAACCGGACACGTCCTTCCTCTCTCTTCCCAATCCTTTCTCATGATGCCTCTTTATTCACGCTTGCACCTGGCACCAGCAGCTGGGAGAAGCCAGCAAGCACAGGGATACTGCAAACAGCCTGGAAGCAGACTCAGCAGCCAGTCAAACACACAGATGGACAAGAGGCTCACTGGCTTATGACCCTCAGCCCAGGAGACAAGGAAATGGAGCACTGGTGCACAGACAGCATGTGCCACACTGCATCCACAAATGCACCACAAGCTGCCTTCACAGAGCACATGGGTGGGAGCTGCAGCTTCCCTCACCGTACCCAGAGGCCCCATGCAGACCCTCCAGATCCCTCTCCTCACTGCCACCACTAGCTCGGAGCCAGAAGGGATGGCGCGCCATGCCAATGAATCAACCATGCCCTCACCTTCCCCACCCCACACCAGACAAGCCCTATGTCAGTCTCCGCTCCCTTCAATATTGCCCAACCCATGGCCTGGCCACCTGTCTGAATCCCCCCCACTTGGGAATACTATACATACAGCAGCAGAGGGCTCCAGGCTTCAGGAGAGGCACTGGCATAGTTGCAATAGGCAGGCTCCATTCCCAGGCATTCGTATACGGCTGCTGACGGCCCCCACACCAGACAAGCCCTATGTCAGTCTCCGCTCCCTTCAATATTGCCCAACCCATGGCCTGGCCACCTGTCTGAATCCCCCCCACTTGGGAATACTATACATACAGCAGCAGAGGGCTCCAGGCTTCAGGAGAGGCACTGGCATAGTTGCAATAGGCAGGCTCCATTCCCAGGCATTCGTATACGGCTGCTGACGGCCGCCTGGCTCCAGGAGGAACCGCCAGCCCTGCTCTGCATGGGGGGAGCAGAGTGCCTGGCCTGGAGGTCTCCCCTGAGAGCCGTGGTTGGCTGAGGCGTCGGTAGCACCCCTGCAGCCCGCAGGCTGCCTTGCTGTACACAAACTCTGCTGGCAGGAGGTGAGAGGAGCGGCGGCGCAGGTAGCGTGGAGCTCGCAAGAGAGGCCTCATGCTGAGAGGGTGCAGGGCAGGGGGTCTGCTCCTTGGGGGAAGCTTAGCCTGCTGCTCACACCGATCCAACCTGACTGCTGAGGTGACATTCTCCTCCCTGACACAGCCCTCCTTCAGTTCCTCCCTGGGCGACTCGGGTCCAGAGCCTTCAGCACAGGCCGTCCGCTTCCCTTCCTCTTCCTCACTCATTTGGATGAGGCTGGCTAGCAGCATGGAGGGGCCCATGAGCTGGACATCGATGGTGCGCACCTGGCCCCCACGTTTCTTCTGGACAGCAAATCTGGGGCTGAGATGGGGTGGGGTGGTGCTGGAGCGTCGCCGGGGGCTCATGTTGCCCTTGTCTGGGGAGCCCAGGCAGGACAGGCTCTGCAGCTGGGGACTGGACCTGC